TGATACAAATTTAAGGTCAATTTTGTAATATACATAATTCTACTTTTGTTTAAGGTATTATTTTATATATCTCATTCAAAATGTAATATATAATTAAAATTACAGATTAATAGATAATCATTTATAATAGTCAAACTTTAAGTCAATTAGATTTTCTAAATTTCCAGAGATATATTTCAGTTAGATAGATAATCTTCAACACTTCAAAGACCTATAGAATTTAAAATGTTTTAAGAACTTAGGCTTTTCTCTACAGTGAGATATGCTTACTTCTGGCAGCACCAATTACTGTAGAAATATTGATGGGAATTGAACAGAGTTGTAATTTGCCTTCAGTGTGACAAGGCTAGCCATTTGAGCAAAAACTGCTCTTTCCTGGACTGCCTGATGGTATGCTGTATGAACTGGACAAACAGGACTCACAGAAAAATTAATAATTAATTTTCAAAAGACAGGATGATCTCTTAGGGTTCCTGCTTCATAGAAGAAACTGCCAGACATTTTTCAGAACACAGAAGAAAGCATTTGACAAACTTTGCCATTATTAGACAGAACATATCATCTGTTTCACTGAAAATTCTGTCAGACATTATGAACCTATAGTTGAAGATGAATGACCCAAAGTTTTAAAGAATTTTAGGTGACTGCCCAGGAAGTTAGATATCTTTCATTTCTGTAACTTTGGAAGTTGCTTATAATGTAATTCCTATTTAATTAGGTAATATTATATCTTTCTGGGGTCTTTGATGGGGTTAAAAACTAGATAGTTATAATTATAGCTTTTTCTAGTTATGCTAAAATAAAAATTAGATACAAAACTTTAGACTCACAAAGATAGAATAGATGATAGAGTATTTTCCTTAATTTGCCAAATGTAAATAGACTAAATATTATAACTATAATTCCTTCTAAATAGCTGTTTGTATATGTAAATTTTGCTATGTTAAATTTAAAACCTTCCTTTATAATTGGACAGAAAAGGGGAGATACTAGAGTTGTCTTTCTGTATATATTGCTTTTATTAGTTGGTGAAAAAGTTGTTTCGGCCAATGGTTTAGTGGAGTAAAACCAGGCAGGAAATCCAAACAGAGATACATAGAGAGATTAGGTGAAGTCAAGCAGATGTCAGCCGGTAGCCAAGGAAACAAGACATATAGAAGATGAGGCAATGCCATGGCAACACAAAGGCTAATATAAATAGACAAATTTAAGATGTAAGAACTAATTAGGAATATGCCTGAGTCATTAAAAAATAGTCTTGTACTTAGTATAGTTTCTGTGTTATTATTTGGGTCTGGATAGTCACGAATGAAAGCCATCTCCACTTACACAAATCTGAAAAGAGAAAAAGAAAGAAATAAAAAAAAAGAACAAAAGAAATGTGGGAATTGGAAAGTATTTGTTGAAGGTACAATCACCTGGGTGTGTTATATAAGTCATTGTGAATGCAGTTAATATAAATATATTACATAGTTGAAATGCCCTGAAAGGGATTTGGGAGGAATGTTCTTAGTGAATTACTATACATTTCATCAAGTAAAGCAGCTCCTGAAATCTATCTGGTTAGACTGGCTTGTAGGTCTCCAATCACAGACACCATGAAGACATGATCAAAGTTCTCTAAACACTCGTTTAAATTTTGCTTAATCTGTAGACTTTGAAAAGTCAAAATCTAACTACTTTTCAGGATGCTTAAAAAATAATATTTTGAAAAATCTTCCATTATAAATTTTAATAATACAAAATAATAAACTGTGAGTACAACTTAGACTTCCATTCTTATAATGATAAAATCCAGAAAAAGTACTTAGTTTATTAATATGTCCTTTTATTCTTAGTATCTTTCCAAAGCTTCAACTAGTATCTTAAGTTATGCCGTTTTGCTCTGAATTTTTTAATACATGCAAGCTAATTACACACCATAATCCCTTCAGGACAGACTATGAACTTAAAAAACTACAAAAAAATAGTTTTTGACTGCTGGGAGCTATGGTCATTAATTTCTTAGTGTTTATTATAGTATTATGCATCTGATAAACTTGAATTCTGAAAGGGCCCAAAGAGAATTGATAAATGCAGTTCAATGATAAATGCAATACTATTTAACAATATTTTGTGGAAAATAAAATACACTAATTTAAAAAGAAAGTATGGATGAATCTTTCAGTATGATATATTTTTATGATATATTGCATGCACTTCTGAACTTAGTTTTCTATTCTACACTGAGGAATGCAACAAACAGACAATACTTACTTGTGATGCTATTTCTCGAGACTGACACAAAAGAGGGAAAAAGAAATACACAAAATGCAGTTTAGACAATGACTGAACAGTACATACAAGGAACAGCAACAAGGACAAAATACAACATATAGCTAAAATACATTCATAACACAATAATATGCTTACTTGTGTAAAGCTTTTGATATAAGTCAGGAAAACTATGTTATTCTGTGTCTTTATCTCAGATTATGTTAATAAAGCAGACTGTTTCTGCTTTATTAAAATTGGCTTAGTATAATAGATACTAAAATAAATGGTAGAAAATAAATGAATCACTCTGTTAAAAAAAGAATACTGTAAATAACAATTTACATTAAACACTTACTATTAGTAATAAGTCACACAAAAGCAGCCTGAACTAACATTCAGGAACATTATATTTAACTACAATCTGTGTAGCTACACAAGACAGGGACTAGTATTTATTCTATTAATATAACATATTTTTATTGTTGATAAATGTGTTATTTTACAAAATTTACAAATGTCTTACTTGATATTTGCTTGTATATGCATTTATGAGTAACTTATCTTCAGAAAGTCTCCTGAAGATTTTCTGCTCTCATAAAGGTAAAGACTATATCAACATTCTAAAGAAATCTACTTTGTAATTACTACGACCAATTCAGAAATATTTGTTTTCCATTAAATTTTTATGTTCCACTTTTAAAGAATATGTGAAATTGAAAGCCACAGAAAAATGAATGGGCATTAGGAGACAGCACTGCTAGATGTGAATAGCTCATGAAAGTATAGTGATCCCAGAATACCTTGTTCCTTCTGTCCTGAGGAAAGACATTATTCAAATTGCCAAGAATTTCAAAGCAGACTCTCCCCAGACAACAAACTTGATATTGTGGAGATTCTAGACTAGACAGTTCTTAAAAATGTCAGAATAAAATTTTTATTAAAAAGATCTTTTTTCATTATTTATATTTTGTATATGAATATATGTCTATGTGAGAGTATATGCACAGGAGTACATGACCCTGTTCTGGAAGAGCAGTATGTACTCTTTATCCCAGAGCAATCTTTCCAACCACTAAAGTTACCATTTTTATAAACTGTTGAAGGTATGGTACGTTATTATGAAAATCATAGAAAACTAAGGAAATGTTAAACTACATATAAAAATAGTTTTTTATTTATAGTATAGTCAAGTAATATTTGTATCTATTTCAAAATCTGTGGCCATATTTGTCAAACTACATGTCTTAAATGTCTCTCCAGTCAACTATTGTGTCGATGATTCCTTCTTTGAAAGTGCTCTTTCTGGAGTGCTCCTCAAGTCTATGTTCAAAGAAAAACATAAATATGATTGTAAAGGTGGCAGTGAATATGTATTAAGCAACAATAAAGTGACTGACATCTCACAAAAATATTCAGATGGCCAAAGTACACATCTATGTAAATATATAGTCAGAACTTGGTGTAGGAGGCTCTTCTTTCCATGTGTTGCTTTCATTGGTTAAATAAAGAGACTGCCTTGGTCTTTTGATAGGACAGCCCTTAGGTGGGCGGAGTAGACAGAACAGAATGCTGGAAAGAAGGAAAGTATGGCAGAAGCAATAAAGCTCCTGCCCCAGACTGACACTGGTTCGGATGTTTCCTGGTGAGCCACAGTCTCATGGTGCTACACAGATTATTAGAAATGGGTTAATTAAGATGTGAGAGTTAGCCAACAAGAGGCTATAACTAATGGGCCAAGCAGTGTTTAATTAATACAATTTCCATGTGGTTATTTCAGGGGCTAAGGTAGCCAGGAGGCCAGGAGCCGGGCGGGGCAAAAAGCAGGCCGGCTCCTCTTCATACTACAATAACTAGACAAAAACTATCTGATTTTAAATGTATGCTGACTTTCTGTAAGATTTGTGATTTTTTATTTCATCATAATTATTTTCAAAGATTACTTTGACTGATAAAATGAAGATCATTGATGTAAACCCTATGTGATTTTTTTTTATTTTTTTATTTTTTTTTATGATTCAGCTAGCCAAAATGGACACTTCAAGAATATGAACCATATTTTATGCTAAGAAATATTATATACATTTGAATATATGAAATAGGATAGTATATTTATCAAAAACTTAAGTCTTAAAATAATCTAATTTAAAGAGTTGTATTTTCCTAAGATTATAAAATCAAAAGATGAGATAAATTCAAAATATATTCTCCATTGCAGGTGGTCATCAAAATCTTTGCATTTTAGCAGATTCTAGTTCCTGATACAAATTATTCTCTTTCCTTAAAAAATCAGGTTCTGTTCCTAGACTTTTCTAAACTTCACATTATTTTCAGTGTAGAAACAGAGACGCATGAATTTTGATCCTTAATGACTTTCCTTGCTTTGCTTCTTTCCAAATGCTAATGCATGCAGTCAGAAAATATTTTAGAAACATAGGTGATTTGGAGACGTTTTTTCTATCTCAGAATCTTAGGGTGACATAATTGTGATTCTTTAAAATGTTATACCAGTGGATAATCTTGGATCTGGAAAAGGAGGCTGGAACCCAATATCCTCAAATGTTGGAAAAACCTCTAACCAGCAATACTTTGTGAAATAGCTGAGATTTCAGCTACTGAAAATTTACACTGTGATTTTATAGAGGACTTTTACTTCCTCTTGCATTTGGGTGAAATCAGTTATCATGCTTATGAAGAATTATGTTCATCAGAGTAAATACAACAAAAAGGCTTTTATAGTTTCAAACCTCCGATGTAGTTAGTTTCTGAGATTCCGTCCTGTAGATCCCAATGGGAACATCTCCAGTAGAGGAACACAACTTCTGATAGAGTCTGGCATATGTTCTGATCCACAAGTCCTCTTCAGTGATTTTCATCTATAATGCACATGAATGATTCACACAATCAATTTCTAAGAATAAAAACCCAGTGATCATTTTTCTCTTCTTAAAAGCTGCATCCGTATATATTTTGAAGTTTCCAAGCAGTATTTCATAATACCTTGTTCATTCATAAGGTTTATTTATTTTACTACATCTCAGTTTATCTTGGGAGTTCATTCAAAGTCAAGAAATGTTAAGTAGTCAGTCTGAGCAATACGAAATTATATTGGTGTAATTAAAGTAGGCAACATAACAGTGGTAGTGACCTGGGAGATGGGGGTAAACAGTGTGGAAATGTAAGATGATGTTACGACAAAATTGACACCAAAACTTAGTAGACAGAGTTTTCTAAAGCTAAAAATGTAAGGTACGGAACTCTAGTAATAAAAGTCCTATTCCACATGCATCAGAGTTACTAAATGTACATAAGCAAACCTATGGTAGATGGAACACAGAGCTACAAACAAGAAACCAGGTTTCTCATCTCCCCTACTTGCTTGGACATTTGAACCGTTAGCAATCTGTTGTATTTTATTCACTACACTCTATAAAACAGAAAGATTTAACCAGTATAATGCCACAAGTCTGTTCTCCCTGATATTACAAAGGGCTGGAGTAGAGCATTCTTTGATTCCAGGAGTATGAAAGACAGTCTGAGCAACACAACAAGATCACTTCTCAGAAAGTGATATATCAACAGATAGGTAGGGAGAGGTAACAATGGGGTTAATGCCAGAATCATCCTGCTTAAGGACAATGCAGAAAACACGTCTTGGATAGGTCATTGTCAAACTGTCAACACCATCAGTGAGAACTTCTACTCGATTTTATATAAAATGTTTTTATTTTTTTTGTAATGAATTTATTGAAATTTCCAGTCCACTAAAACAGCATATAATGGATTTAAAGTTTAAAGAGTTTTCTTGAATTAGAAAGCCTCAGATATAACACTTTGGACACATGAGGAAATAAATGTGATTATAGATGAGTCACCACAGGCACATGGTAGGTGAATCTCCAAGCTTTCTATTATAATTCTCTACTCTTCCAGACATACTTAACTTACAGAACAAAGAAACCCCGATCCTGGTATGGTGTCCAGTCCCAGCAGAAGTCTGGTGATAGAAATCATATAATCTTTCACAAATGACTGCAATATAAGCAGAATATTTATAGATTATGTATGTAAGGTATAGAGAATAATGAGGAAGGTGAACACATGAATATTTCTGAAAAATTTACTTCAATCACTTCTGCAAAGCCTCAATAAAAAGAGATAAAAATACATTTCAACTTCTTAAATAGCCATTAATAGTTAAGCTGATCCTAAAGAAATATATGAAATACCTGTTATTTACAGATAATATGTATGCTGACATTGGCTCAGTGGACATTATGCTAACATTTTATATGATTTAAAAATAAAACAAAAGTCTCTAAACTGAAATAAAATGGTGAAATTAATAACTGTTAAAATAAATATTTAAAATATTTCAACCAGTCTTTTCTCTAAGATTAAGCTGCCCAATGGTAAGACAACATCTATTTACAGATGTCCTTTATTATTTCTTATTACATATATTATTTTCCAAACTACTCATGTTAAAATAGAATCTCTTTAAATAAAGAATCATATTTTCTTAAAATAGCAGTGTCTATCACTTGGTAATAAGAAAATAAAATACGGTATTAGCAAGTGCGTACACATAACATTATCAAAAGCCATCCATAGGAGTGAAATGTAGCTGTCTCACTCATACAAGGCTCTGGGGTCTAATGACAGCATCCACAAAGAAAATCATTCCCCACAGTTCAGAATTCATTATAACCAATGAAAATTCTAGGACAACAATAAATTATTTTCTATAATTTCCTAACTCTGAAATTTCTTTAGATAAGTATTTTACAAAACAAATAGTAAAATAAGTTACAAGTTGTAGCTAGAAAAAATTTAAGTAAAATGAATTAAGTTTACCAAAATAGAAATGAATCTAATTCATCAAATAACATTCGCTATATCATGGGGTGTTTTAAAGTTATATACATTCAAATGTAGATATATGCAGTGTATATTGGATTTAAACTGTGATATAATTCTGAACTTAAAATGTTATATTTTTATCTATATGTCAGTGTATATATGGGTGCATGGGTGCCACAGACTTTCTGTGTAAGTCAGAGGGAAACTTTGGCAAGTGCCTCTTTTCTATTGAAATGTAGGTCTCAGAGATCAAAGTATTGTCCCCAGGTTTATCCACAAGCACATTACCAATTGCACCATCTTGTCAGCCCTAATGCAAAACTTTCAAATTCTAATTGAGGCTTTAGGCAGAAGTTTAAACAAACCACTAACTTTGGTCCCTGAGAGGTGCGTCCACCCACTGACACAAGGGGACTGATCACCAAGGCCAGCTGGACTGAGACTGAATGAGCATGTGATCAAACCGGATTCTCTGAATGTGGCTGACATGGGGGCTGACTGAGAAGCCATTGATAATGGCACTGGGACTTGTTTCTTCTGCAAGTACTGGCTTTTTGGGATCCTAGTCTGTTTGGATGCTCACCTTCCTAGACCTGGAGGGAGGGGGGAGAAACTTGAACTTCCCACAGGGCAGGAAACCCTGACTGCTCTTAGGACTGGAGAAGGAGAAGAGGGAGTGGGGGGAGCGGAAGGGTATTGGGAGGAGGGGAGGAAGTGGAAATTTTTATAAATAAATAGATGAAGAAAAAAATAAAAATAAAAAAATAAAAAAAATTAATCTAACCAAGCTGCTTAAAATAAACACAGTATTTACAAAAAAAAATGTCAAACCAAAGAAAACTTAAAAACTGGTCTCTGCTAGAATTTTGGGAATCACTTATATATACTGTCATATCATCTACAAAGAGCAAAAGTTTGATTTCTTGCTTTCTAATTTATATCCCCTTTATCTCCTTTTCTTGCCTTATTGCTCTAGCTGGAACTTCAAGTACTATATTGAACAGATAAGGAGAGAGTGGACAGCCTTTGTCTTGTTCCTGATTTTAGTATGTTTTCAGGGCTGAGAACTTGATGGCAGATCATATTTCAAAAAATATTTTTGAGTAAAATGTTTCAAATCATCATTTATGTAAGTAAACATCAAAAAACATACTAAATTGTTTCAACTCAACTTTTAAGTTAAAAATTCAAAATATCACTATCACTTATTTTTACTTAAAATCTAACTGAATAGAAAATAAGCATTTTGAAGGAAGAAGAGAGATCGTATACCTGATAGAGAAGCGTGTCCAACATGCTGATGCTGAATACTCGTCCCGCAGCAAAAGGCAGGCGAAACATAAAGGCCAGGTTGGAGCCTCGTTCTCGCTCTTTCTGTTCAGAACCAGAGGAAACAGCTGTGAGCATTTAGATCTTGTGCACTGCTACAGGGGAAAAATCTCTTGGCAAAAATATTCTTTCAACTATTAATAATAATTATGCCCTACCTTCTTTTAAAATTGACTTTGTATATGTTTTTGTGAGTGTACGTACATGTGTATGCTTAAAAATGAAATTTTAAATATCATTTCAAGCTTCATTAACAGCTTTTCTGAATCTATTGGACCACCACGTAATTCAGACTGTTAACCTCTTCATGTATAAACATTTATTCTTGTTACAATAGATGACATAGTTAAACAAGCAAAATAAAATACTTGAATTTAAGCAAAGGCTAAAGTTACATAATTTATCACGACACTTAGATTTGCCTAAATCCTAACTGTCAAGGTTATGGCATTATAAGTTTCCGTTCTGAAACACTAATTTCATCAAATCAGAGAATAGTTCTCCTGAAAGGGAATTTTGGTGCCCTAAAAATTAAATCCTTCTACCAAGTGCCAGTTTTGAACAAAGATGTGTGCCTTTACCATTCCCCTAATAGCAAGCAACTTGACCTCGGACTCCTCATACTCCACAACTGAGAGAAAGAGGCACATCAAAGATCTCCAAGCCATGGCACATTGGAGAAGCATATCAAAGAGAAAAAGTTATATCACACCCATCATTTAATTTTACTTCTCTTTCTGGTAAAAATCTCAGAATCTCTCTCTCACACACATACTTATAGAAAAGTTTCTTTATGTTTGCAAAAGAAAGTTTATGTAAATGTAAGTTTACAAATATATCATGATGCTCAGTATTTTCTTTAAATATAACTCTACTGTTATTTGAATGCTGTGGTACAGACTTGGGAGGATAAGGCAGGAGGAACATTCTGTTATACAGAAGAACTTGCCTCAAAACAAAACGAACCTCTATTATCTTCCTACTAAGGACAGAAACAAGGAGCAAATGTAACATGAAACAAGTGAAAGAAAGATCAGACGGACAGAGGTGGTGCATGCCTTTAATCCCAGCACTCAGGAGGCAGAGGCAGGTGGATCTCTGTGAGTTTGAGGCCAGCCTGGTCTACAAGAGCTAGTTCCAAGGATAAGCTCCAAAGCTACAGAGAAACCCTGTCTCAAAAAACCAAAAGAGAGAGAGAGAGAGAGCAAGCTAACCTTATGCTTGCCACTCATTAACTTCAAAAGCTGCAAACTTTACTAGTGAAGACAGATACTTATGTAGCTTAGAAATCCATTTCTTGAAGAAACTGAAGACCCCATTTTTAAGGTAGCAAATTTCAGGGATCTCAAAGAAGAATCCCTTATATTCTTTTCCTTAAAATGAGTCTGACACTATTCTGAATGACCATGATCATAAATGACACACAGAGATGTCCAGAAAGTAACCTGTATCTGAGGGATGTAAGGTGCTGCAACCACTGTGGCAATGGTTCTCAACCTGTGGGTCACAACCCCTCTGTGGTCACAAATTAGATACTTTGAATATTACATATTTGCATTATGACTCATGACAGTAGCAAAACTACAGATATGAAGTCGAAAAATAGCTTTATGGTTATAGGTCATTACAATATAAGGAACTGGATTAAAGGCCCACAGCATTAGGAATGCTGAGGACCACTGCGCTATGGGAATCAGTATGGTGGTTTCTCATATAGTGAAACTATAACTTCATTAAGGTGCTTCTGTACCATGTATCATGACCAATCTCTAAGTTTACATACCAGGGAGATATTTGCACCTCCATGCTATTCACAGTGAAAACAGAAATATTTTGGGATGTCCAACAACAGGTTTGTGGATCAAGAACATGATTACACTCCAGATTTTCTCCTGATTTTTCATTGTGTCAGTAAAGAACCGAGCTTGGGACTTTAACCTTTTTCTTTTTGATTTCTAATCAAAGCCCCTATACTCACTTTTATAAATAACCTGAACACCACTAGGTCAACCTAGCTCATGAACACCCTATCATAAAACAGTAACCTAATAAGTAAATCTTGGTCAAAACATGTAATTCATCAATGAAAGAACATGGTGACTCCCTCCATAGTCCGAACATCTACCAGATTTTCAAAAAAAAAATATCACTAGTACAGTCTTCTTTTATTTCTCCTGCTAAATTGGACTGCTTTAACAACACTAGTAAGATCTTGAATCTGACATTTTCCAACCTCAAGTCTTTGTTACCACGAGACAACTCCCATGCACTGCTGGCTAATCCCTCCTTCCTGGCAGCTCAGCATCTGCTTTTATATTGAGAACATTTACCCTATAATTAGGTTTTTATAGACCTGTCTGGAGACTACGGAAGCAGAAATTCGTAAATAAGAAAAACTTTCCTCATTCACAGAATCAGAAATATTCTGATCTTTAGAATGTGTTGTCAAACGAACTTAAATCCCCCACCAGGTTAGTGGGTTAGTGTGAAAGTTCTCAGGTATATCATGATTTCTTTGCAGCTTAATCCTGCTAGACTATTGTCCAGTTTAATCACATTATTTAAAATGCTTTTCCAAATTTAAGATTGGTGATGAATTCCATCTGTTAAAATGATAAAAATGTAGTGCACTCTGGCATGACTCAGTGATGGAAAGAATACTGTATCAGGGTTTGGTTCAAGTGATGCTGCTTAGGTGTTGCATGACCTTGAAGACAGTATTTAGTATTTCTCCTCATGAAATGAGATTGTATTGGCATTCTTATTTCATTGTGACTGCAATAAAGAAAATATCTAAAGATATTTTATACACAGCCACTAATTAGACAAAATGACATTTTATCACCTGTAGGTACCCAGGTCTTTTTTCCTTTGTTCGTGGGGATTCGCAGGGTCATTTGACCTCTGGCTCCCTGGCTCTCCTGCACTAGCACCGGCCTGAGGGTATAGCTTAGAAAGAACTTGGCTGTCTTTGTTATGGTAATTCCACCTGTAAACTAGGTTCCAGCTGTGGGCCGGGCACCTGTCATCTTCCACTGCTTCTGATGGGAGGGGGCCGTGCCCTTTTGCCCCCCTTGCCCACTAATATATATACCCGACTTGAGTTTAATAAAGTGGCCATTTACTCTTTGGTAAATGAGCAGGTCTCCTTCTGTCTTTATGCTTCAACCCTTAGGACAGTCGTCCATTCTCGTGGACTCGGTTCGGGAAAGCGCGTGCCTGAATCGGGTGTGGGAATTCACAGAAAAGTGCGGGGCCAACAATCACCATTATTTTTTAATATATTAAACTGTGCTTAATCTTAAAGACTTCATATATTTCTTCTAGAATGTACTTCTCATAATTTAACTGCACAGGCTCAGTTGCTATTGTAACACAACTATTACTTTCCCACAGAGCCTTACTGGTGACCTTTGGGAAGACCTTCCTTCCCTAGTTACTCTTGAAAATGACCTTCCACTACTTGCCTTACACAATTGAATCTATAGTTCCTTATTTCCTTTTTAAAAGTTGTTTATTGATCAATGTCTCCATTAGACTCTGTGTCCCATGACAGCACACACCATATGCATGCTTCCTGCTCTTTAAAGTCATGCCATAAACAGCTTGTGGTTTACAGGTGGACAATGAAATTGTTTGAGCAAATGAATTGTTCTCTATTTAGTAGCTGCCTACATCAAAATTTGACTAAAGATATTAACAAATTTAACTTTCATAATCTGCAAGCAAGAAACTAAAGGCAAAAATAAGGGATATTCAATGTTTCTGTTCTCTCACTAGAGCTACTTAGTGGAGATCTGAAGATATTAAGAAGTATACTGTTAATTTCTATTTTACAATGTTCCCTTTCTTTAGTTTTGCTTGCTTTGTATTTTTTAAGACATACTAGCTATTTCTATAATTGCCTTTAACACAAACTATTGTAATTCTGTTAAAAACCACAACTATGGTACATGCGCTTAGGCTTAGCTCTAGATTGTGCCCTTCAAACCTAATTTCTCAACCTTTGATTGATAAACTATCACTTCTCTACTGCAAATGTAGATCATCACAGAAAACCACAATGTAGAGATCAGTGGATCCTGATAATCCCAGCCCCAACAGATACATCCATAACACAGCTCCCACATTGAAAGCTCTGGGAACATTGCAAAAGAGTTGGGGGAAAGAGTATAAGAGACAATACCAGAAAGTCTGCTGTGAAACTGTCACTCTTAGAAATGGCTGAATAACCAAGACCAAAACAGTGGTATTATTGATGGATATGCTAATGTTGGGGGGAGGATTTTATGGAATACCACCTTTAGACAAAGAGTTAAGCTAACTAATGATTGTTGAAATAGGGAGAATTAGACTTTCATTATTATCCAATACAGAGTGGTCAACTGTGAAGTCATAGAAACACAAATAACAAAAATGGACTCAGCAGGTTGTATTTACATATTTGTGCACATATATGTTTGTATACATATGCTTACATGTATGTAAAAATAATAATGATGAAAGAAAATAAAGAACTGTCAATTTCAGAATGGGAATCATTGAGAGAAACATGGAAAGAGATCAGGAAAGGACTGGAGGGGGAAGAAAAGGTGGAAAGTAATGTATTTCTACTTTCATTAAAATGTTTAAGAAACAAACATGGAAGCCAAAAATACTTTAGTATTTCTGAAATGGGTATATAACTCAGAAGTAGATATGGGAGCAGGGAAGTAAATATCTTAATTAAAGGAGCCATTTTAGGGTATGCAAAAGACTTGACTCTAGAGGGGTTCCCAGGTCCAAGGAGAGATCCCCAGATTGTTCCTTGGGCAGCAGAAAAGAGGGTGCCTGAACTGGCCTTGGCCCATAACCACACTGATGAATATCTTGCATATCACCATAGAACCTTCATCTGGCGATGGATGGAGATAGAGACAGAGACCCACATTGGAGCACTGGACCTAGCTCCCAAGGTCCAAATGAGGAGCAGAAGGAAGGAGAATGTGAGCAAGGAAGTCACGACCAGGAGGGGTGCGTCCACCCACTGAGACAGTGGGACTGAT